CACCTGCCCGCCCGGCACCCAGGTGCGGGTGGGGGTGGGCGGGTCGGGGCACTCGGGCGTCTCTGGAGGAGGGAGTGGTGGGCTCAGCCCCCTCGGTGGTACTCGTGGAAGCCTCTAACATCCCGTGATAGCAGCGTTGGCTCCAATGACTTGGGGAATCGAGACACGCCAGACCAAATACGAAGCACGTGGGTTGGTTCTGCCAATCCTCACCACCTGTGGCCACCCCGCCCCCACCCCCACCCCCGAGGCGGAGAACCTGTGAGCCCTGGTCCGGGGCTGTGGCCTCTGGCCACGGCCCAGCCCCCTGCACAACTCTGGGTGCCAGAGGGGAGCCAAGGACATTCTGTCTTGGGCACCCCCAGGATTTGTCGTTTGCTGTCGTGTCCGTGTGCTTAGCTCGTGTGAGACCGGGCTTAGGAGCCGGGGGGGAGGGGAAGCACTTCAGAGGCCCGGCCGGTGGGCTGGGCGGTTGAGGCCGCACACAGGGCTCTGACCATCCGCGGTGAGCGGGGAGGCTCTCTCCCGGCCCTGCAGAGCACACGGTGGGGGGGTGGGTGCTGCCATGATGGCAGCATCTCTCTGGACCGGACGCCTCGTGGCCCCCGCTGGGAAGGCGGCCACGCCCCCGCCCCCAGCACTGGGGAAGCACGCCGGTTCTGAGCGCCCGGGCGCCTGCCGTGCTTCTCGGGCAGGTCCATTTGCCTTTCCCTGTGGTTTCCTTCCCGGCACACCGGCGCGCTGGGGCCGGAGCTTCGAGGTGAAGTCTAAGTTTGCCGCCGACTGCGTTTAATGAGGCCCCGAGTGGCCACCTTGTGCAGAGGGACAGAGTCAGACCTGGAGCAGAACCTCAGCGCACAAAGCACCCAGGTGAAGTGCCCTGTGGGGTCCTGGGCCTCAGGGCGACGTGAGGGCCGGGCGTGCTGGGGGCCGCACCGGGGGTCCCACACAAACGGGGTCAGGGCCCCCGGAGTCACCACTGCCGTGCAGCCGGCTTCCGGAACCGTTGGTAAAACAAAAACCAGTTGCACGCCGAACCCTTCTAATCCCCTGATGGTGGGAGGACACCCGATGCCCCAGCTCTGGTTTCCGAGCCTCGGCCGCGGCTGCGGCCGCCCGGCTTGGCCCGGCTCCCCCGAGTGGCAGCCCGACACGGCCGGCACGACCGCGGTATTTGAGGACAATGAAATATGCATGGCCGTCGGTGACAGCCCCATAAAGCGCAGCAATTAGCCGAGTAATCGGAGAGAGAGAGGGAGCCGGCCGCGCAGCCCGCGGCTCCCCATTAGTTAAATGCATTTTGTACGCCCTCATCCCATCAAACCAACTAACACTTCCTTTAATTGGCTCATGAATTATACAGCCGCCCCGCATTATAATTTAATCGCCTGTAAACAGTCACAGGCCCCGCCGTAAAGCGCACCCGCTCATTAATTCGCTAATTCCAGCAGATGGAAGGGGCGATCGGATGCACGGTGGCAGAACAGAGCGCCTCGGGCAACGGAAGAAGGGAAAAAAGGTGGGGGGCCGTTTAGGTTTTTAAGGGCTGTCAGAAACTCAATCTGCGGGCTGTCAGGGCCCCGGCCGCCCCGCCCCCGCCCCCCGCCGGTGCGGCAAGTGACTGGCGGATGCACACGGAGACTTGTCAACCGTCTTTAAACATCAAGCCAGCGGGTAAACCGAGCCCGGTGTAAATTAATTCTTGTCTCGCGGCCCCCCCCGCCCCGTCCCCATGCATATTTCATGGCGGGCAGCATAAATATTAATTCTAATAGCTCTGCACACTGGTTATTATTTCTGTTTTATGACAAATATTCATAAAATATTCAGGACCCTTTTTTGGAATATTTACGCACTTGATTGTGAATTTTCCCAGATTCCCGGGGACGCTGGAAACATATTGGGGTTCTCTTGATGGACTTTTCCCCCTTAATTAATACCGCTGGCTATCAATATTTAATCGGAGTTACGTTTTTCGGGAAGCGGACCCTTCTAGAGCGCAGGGCGGGAGGACGTGACTCCCCCCGCACAGTCTGCGAAAGGGAGAGACCGTTTCTCTTCGACACCTGGGCGACGGCAGAGGGTGACCTGGCCTCTTTATCGGGAAAACAGAGCCCGTCCCTTCCGCCGGCGCCTGCTCTCGCGGCTGAGCGCGCTGGCGGTGGCCCAGCTCGCCGTAATGAGACTCGGCGGCAGGTGCCGTGGCAGTGTTTATGCAAGGATTCGGCGTGCTCCCGGAGTGATTGAAGCGCGGGTTTAGCCAGCACGGGGGTGGGTTCCTGAGGCAGGGCCGCGGCAGGTGGGAGGAAGGGCCTTCTGGAATCCTGGCTATTCATCTTTGACCCCCAGAGGCGGCGGTGTGCGGCGTGCTCAGGGAGGCGAGCCGGGGGGAGGGGGTCCCTTAGGTGCAGGAGGGAGGGCACGGGTGAGGTGGCAGCTCCGGTCAGAGGTGGGGGTGCCCGTGGGGTGTCGACCCCACCCCCACCCCGCTGGGCCGCCTTCCCCCTCCGACCACAGCAGGGAACGCAGCAGAATCCGGTTTCCCTCGGGAAGGTAGCGGGCCGCCACGGGGCGCCCTCGAGTCCGCCGGACGGGGCGCCCAGCCAGAGGCGCCACCTTACGTCTCGGGCGAGTTTTTCCGTCCTTGAGTCGGGCGCGATCGCAGGACCTGGGCCACGCGCTTGTGGTGAGATCGAGTGTCACGACACGCATGTGTACCGCGCCGGAACAGTGCCCGGCCCGCAGCAAGCACGGGACGGCTGGCAGTGACGGTGGTGATGGGTGTTGAGGGCAAAGGGTCAGGGCGGAGGCCAGGAGGCCCGTGGAGGAGGCCCGGCTGTGGGGACGGTCGGGCAGAAGCTTCTCTGCGCCCCGTGCAGGAGCGGAGTGGGGGGTTCGCGGGAGACCCCAAGGGGGTGGTGCCTCGGTGACCGCCCCCCGGGCGGGTGTGCGCTGGGCGCCCGACCTGGGTGGGGACTGGCGCCGCGGAAGGAGACCTCACAGTGGAGTCTGCTATCTCTCCCTCCGCTGCCTGTGTCCAGGACGGTGACGAGGAGACGCACTTGTCCCCGAGGCGGCCAAGAGCCCAGGTCGCGCGCACCCTGCAGCCCAGCCCTTGAAGGGGGCTCCTGGTCCCGAGCGGTGCCCGGGAGCCGCCCGGGGCGGGCCGGACCACCAGCGCAGGCACCCTTTCCCGCCTTTACCCCCGTTCGGTGGGTCTTCGTGGAGCGAGGAAGGCGGCATTGATGCCCGCAGGCCTGACCCTGGGACTCTGGCCGGCACTGCCCCCCACACCCCCGGTTTCTGGCTTGTGCGGGGCAGGGACACCCCCTTCCTTCCTCCTGGCCGATCTGCAGAGGAGCGCGGGGTGAGCTGTGCCGACCGGGAGCCGCCGCCTGCGTCCGAACCCCACCCTGGCCACCGTCAGCCACGGCTCTCCGCGGGCGCCCGACCCAGAGGGTGCGCGCTGGGCCTGTCCGGCGAGGCCTGTCCCGGCGATGCGTCTCCAGGACCAGTCTGGTGTCCTTGTGCTCCTGACCTTGCCCGCCGGTCGGGAGCCTTCCCTGGAGTACGACACGTGGTCTCGGCGGGCTGGCTAGAAGTGTCGCCAGGCTTCCCGCCTGGTTGGCCTGCTTGAAGGGACAGGAACAAGGGTGCGGGGGTGGGGGGTTGTTGTCACTGACGCTGCTGTCCCCCCCGTGAGTCCCCCGTGGGAGCTGCACACATCAGTCGTCATCCCGCCCGGCGTCGACAGTGACAGCTCCACTGAAAGTCGTGTCTGGGTCCCACGCGAGGGGCTTGCTGTGGTGCCTGGCTCGCGACGCGGGCGTTAACTAGTAAGCGAGCCACGGAACCTTCCTGAAGTCACTGCTGTGAACACACCCAGGTGCTTCAACACGGGAAGGCATGGCCGGGGCCAGGTGTGTGGGCCACAGCCTCGCACACGCAGGCCCCTGCCCTGCCCCCACCCAGGGCATGCTCGCACCCGCCCATGGTCTCGGCCGGCACTGGAGACGCCCACCACGCCGGCCGTTCTCTGCGGGGACCGGGGACCAGGGTGGGGGCGGGCACACGGGGCCGTCCTGTGCATTGCAGGACGTGTAGCAGCGTCCGGGCCTCTCCCCACAAGGTGCCAGCGGCACCCCTTCCCGGCTGTGACAACCAACCAAAGGTGTCCCCAGGTGTGGACTGCCACACGTCTTCTCGGGGCAAAGCCACACCCAGCTGGGAGCCCCTCTCCCCTGGTTTATGTGCGGAAAGGGGTCCATGGCCGGGGTCGGGGGGGGTGGCGAAGCCCTCTGGACCAGGGGTTAGCAGACAGAGGACCACCGAGCACTGCCATTCCAGGAGCCCGGGGTCGGGGGCCGGTGCTGTGACTTTCCCGCGGGGCCCCTGACCACTGAGGACCCTGCCCCTCAGGCCGGGGGCCCCTTCGTGAAGGAGGACGCTCCCCGCCCCCGCACTCGGGGAGGGGCCGTCCCCATGGGGAGCCGGGCTCCGGGAGGGCGCAGGGACCGGGGAGCACAGCCCACACCAGTGGCGTGTCCGGCCCCGGGAGGCGCTCCTCAGCCCCGTACACAGGTCGTCTCCTCAGACCCTCGGCGCCGGTCAGCTGCCGTCGCCCGCCCCACCTCACAGCGGGGGCGGGGGACCGAGTCGCAGGGAGGTCGTGTGAGTGGCCCGGCTCACACGGCAGGTCCACGAGGAGGGGAGATTCCGCCCTCCCGAAAGGGCAGGTCATCTGCTCGCCCGTAGCCCACCTGCACAGTGGCCCCCACAGGAGGGATGGGGGCTGGGGACCGCCCCGAATCAGGGGTGCAGGTGGCTCCCATAGCAGAGAGGCCTCACCTGCGTCCCTCCCAGGTGGCCTGCGAGAGCTGCACACCTGCAGCCCGGATGGGCGGCTCCCAGGGCCCCGCCCGCCCGCGGGGGCTGGTGCCCACCCTGGACTCGGTGGGCAGGGGCCTCCCGGCTGACCGTGCGCTTGCTCCGCCCCCCAGGGTGTTCTTCCTGAACGTGCCGCTGGACTCCGTCGTCGAGCGGCTGACCCTGAGGAGAACCGACCCCGTCACCGGGGAAAGGTCAGTGCCCCCCGCAGACTCCCTTTCTCCAGGTGGCTGACCAGTGCCTGAGCCGGGCTGCTCCAGGGACAGCCTGGTGACTGCTCACGGGGGACTCTAGGAAGGGGGCCCCTCCCACTAGCTCCCCCGGACAGCGTCTGTCAACGCTCTCTGCCTGGACGAGGAACCAGGACACAAGTGTCCGCGCCTCCCCAGCGGAGGTAGCGAGGTCCGCCTGCACTGTCCTGGCGGCAGGCAGCTCCGGCTGCAGCCTGTGCAGGGGCCACCCGTGTGTGTCCCTGGGCCCTGCTGTCCCAGCCGTGCTGTGCGCACCCCGTGGGAGCCCCTGGCCTTCCCGTGGGTGCAGAGGGTCGATTCTGAGTTTCTTTGCAGCCCGACCACGTGCGGTCGCTGTGTGCGTGTCGATTGTGGGTTAGAGTCCCTGCCACCACGGCGGGGTACAAGCCTCCGTGCCCGGGGCAGCCGGGGCCCCCGCAGCAGCGAGTGAGGGGGGCGGGAGGGGAGTGGCGGGCTCTCTCTGAGCCACGGGCCTGACCTCCTTCCTCGCCCTGGCTGCGGGCCCATGTTTCCTGCCATGAAGGACGGCGGCCTCCTGGGGGGCCCCTCCCAACAGGGACCGTCTGTGGCACTTCCTGGGTGGCACTTCCTGTCCCCTCCGCTCCCCAGTGGTGGCGTGATGTCCCCGCCCCCATCTCGCTGCAGGCTCCGTGGGCATCGGCGTCTGTCTCGCGTGTCCCTGTGCCGTCCTCAGCAGACAGAACGCCAGACGGAGCAGATGCCCAACGCACGGTGTTTGGGAGGAAGGAGAGAGGGAGGCGCGGGGGGAAGGGAGGAATGTGGGTGTCGCCCGCTGTTCCACGCCGTCTGGCCCGCTCGCAGCCCTCGCCCCTGCGCACGGCCCGTGTGCGGTGCTGGTGGCTGCCGACCCCTGGCCACAGCAGGACAGAGGGCCCCCCTCTGCCCCGCCGTCTGGGCTGGGCCGTGCGTCACCTGCCTCCCCGGCTCTCTCGCAGGTACCACCTCATGTACAAGCCGCCTCCCACCATGGAAATCCAGGCCCGGCTCCTGCAGCACCCCAAGGACGCCGAAGAGCGGGTCAAGTTCAAGGTAGACCTGTTCTACAGGAATTCCCCCGAGCTGGAGAAGTTCTACAAGCAGGCCATCGCCGTCAACGGCGACCAGGACCCATACACCGTCTTCGAGCACCTAGAGAGCGGGATCATCCACCCCCTGCCCACGAAAGCCCTCTGACGCGGGCAGGGCAAGCAGCATCCGGAGAAACAGAGTTAACCCTGGGCCCCCCCCGCCCCCACCCCCCGCCCCCTGGAACCTCGGCTGAGCCAATAAAGAGTGCAGGGCGCAATCTCACGTGTCCTGAGAGGAGGTGGCCTCGTCGGGGGGTCTGGGAGCGCAGGTGCGGTGAGGCCCAGGGCGACTGTGCGGCAGCGTGGTGAGCGGGTGGGAGCCGGAACACGCCGTGTACCCAGGGAAGTCCCGGCCCCGAGCCCCTCCTTTCTCACCGCGAGAATGGGGGGGGTGGGCGTCACCGGGCCCCGCCTCCCGGGCCCCCGAGGCAGCCGACATGCAGGTGCCGGGGAGGCTGTCGGCACGGAGTCTGGTGCCCAGTGACCTCTCACACGCAGCTTTGAAGGCCCGGCATCCCCAGGGCCATGTGGTCCAGGAGAACTCTCTGGAGCGAGGGCCCGTGCCCTCTGCCCCGTCCAGGACGGCCACCCGCAGCCGCAGGTGCGACCGAGGGGATGGTCTTCGTTCTCATTAATTCCAGTGTCGACGGCCCCAGGTGGCGGTGGCTGCCCTGGTGGGTGGGCAGCTCTGGACACAGCTGTTTCCCAAGGTGCTGGAACCCTGGAGACGGCAGGGCGTCAGGCCCCCCAATATGCTCCACTGGGGCCCACAGTGCCCTGGAGGGGGCGTGAAGGGACGGGGCACCTCGGGCCAACAGAGCTTCCGATCCTCTTTCATGAGCCCCTCCCCACGCCAGCCCCTTAGGAAGATGGTTGGGGGTCCCTCCGCTGACGGACGAGGACGCCAGCTGCAGAGGGTCCTTCCTCACGGGGAGAGGCCGGCTGCCCCGAGGGCCCCCTGAGAGCGGCCCCTGCCTGGTCAGCATCCCCAGACCCTGGGAGGCCCCGGAGGGGTCCTGGCTGCAGGCCGGTTGCAAACGCCGCCTGCTCTGCACCCAGCACCCGAGACTGGAGGAGACTGAGCCCGAAAGGTAGCTGGCCCAGCCTGGTCAGGGGTCACTGGCCGTGCCACCCACCCTTGTCACTTGGGGTATGGGAGGAGGACAGATCTCACTTTGCTGGACTGTCAGTGAAACTCCATCTGGATGTAAGTCCTTAGCCAGAACCAAGACATCACAAAGCGGCCCTTCCCCTAGTTAACACGCGCTTGCTTTGTGCACGACCTCCTCTCTGGGGGGGCCCCCCTGCACCATCAGCTCCCCGCCCCCTGCTGCCCCACCCACCCCCAAGAGTGGGGCGCCCGAGCCCACCCGCTCCGGGCAGCAGCACTGTGTGAGGCAGGGTGTGCCCTGCCCAGAACAAGGGCTGTGGGAGGCAGTGGCCTGGGCCCCCGCTGCTGTGTGACCTCGGGCAAGCGACAGCCTCTCGGGATCCTGGTCACAAGAGAGCACAGTGGCCCTCGCCGGCAGGAGCGAGGAGAACAGGGCCCCGCTCTCAGACGACGCCACGTGACGACAGTGTGACGCCTGCCCTCCCGCAGTCCGGGTCGGGGTGGGCTCGTCACCGCAGCCTCTGCGGGCCCTGGCATCCGGGTCCCTCGGGCCAGGTGTCGGCTGCGGCGCTGGGACGGCGTGAGCCTCGTTGGGACGGGTCTGACAGGCTCCAGCTCATGTGGGTCGCGGCCCGGACACGCGGATGTGTCACGAGCCAATGGCACTGGTCTCTCGACGGCTTTGCGCACACAGGTGGGCGCCAGGCCCTTCTCACGGGCGCCGTGGCGGCTCCCGGCGTAATTGGGCGGCGGCCTAATTGGGCGGCGGGTGGCGTCATCACCCTCCAGTTCCGGGCATGCGCCTGCGGCCTGGGGCTTGCGGCCCTCACAGCCCAGTCTGGTGGCCGGGGTGGGGGGGGGTGTCAAGGTCTTGTTCGCGTCCAGGTCGGCAGCTGAGCTTGAAGTTCACCGAGGTCGGACTCACTTGCAGGAGGACAACACGTTCCGTGTGGTCGTGCAAGTAAGTCCTCGGTTCCTCCCAACCCCCTCGGTCTCGTGTGGTCCGGTCCGCACAAACTCCCCTCACGCGGGGGTGCAGCGCGCCGCTGCCTAGGCCCCCGTCTGCTTTAGGGGGTCCCTCCCCGCCTCCTCCCTGGCGGCGGGAAGCCCGGGCAGCGGAGCGGGAGCCCCTTCGGGGGCCCCCCACCCGCACGGCAGCCTCCGAAGGCGTTTCTCCTGGGGGACCCGCCCGCCGCGGAGGGGAGCGGGCTGCACCTGCCGAGGACCCCAGCTGCCCAATCGGCGCGCTCAGCCGGGGATTCGGGAAGAGAACTGGGGGCAGCTGGCTGCCCGCTGCTGGCCGCCCGCGGGAAGGGGTGGACCTGGGGCAGCGACGCCCACCCCCTCCGTTCAAGTCCTTCTGGAGTGCCCGCTCCGGGCCGTGCCGGGACACCACGGGGGAAAACGGGACAGAGCCGCTGCCCGCCCCCCGAGGCCGGCTGACACGTACACAGTGACAGGAATGGGAGGCTAGGAGAGGCGGTCTGGTTTCCGACCTTCCCTGAAGGTCAGGGCCCTGGGTCTCGGGAACAGCCCTCTGTCCTCCCAGCATGCACCTCTTCGCCCAGGGCAGCGGCTGGGCCTGGGGCTGCCTCCGCCAGTTCCCTGTTGCTCTGAAGGTCCTGCCGGCCACGGCCCACACCGTCCACACAGCCCCCCCACCCAAGGGGCGGGCGGGGACTTCAATGAGGCCGGGACTCAGGGGAGAGCCCCTCTCTGCCCCCGTGCATGCCCCGGAGGTGAAGGCGACCAGGGAGCTGCGTTTCGAGGCACACAGTGGAGTTTGGAGGCGAGGGACGTGCTTCCATTTAAAACACAGAAATGTTGCAGTAGAAACACTTTATTAAAATGTGACTCATTTAAAAACCCAACCGTACAACAGCAACCGTTCTCATAGGAACGACACTCTCACCCCGGCCCCAGTAGAACCCACCGCAGTCCTTTACTGGGAACACCCAGAGTTACACGTGTGGGGTGGGGTGGGTGCACGGATGGGTGGGGGGGCGGGCCGGTGGCCAGGAGCGACCATGTGGCGGCTGCCCTGTGACCCCCGAGTTTCGCTGCGGTGAGAACCCCGCGTGGTGTACAGCGCAGTGCTGTTTGCTACAGGCTTGCTCCCGGTCGGTCACTCGGGTCGTGGTGTGTCGTGGGCTCAGTGACTCGGGGTCCCCAGAAGCGGGGCCCGCCTGTGAGCGGGTGGCGGGGCGGGTGGCTGTCGCGCACGAGGTGGCCCGACTGCCTTCCATCGGCGTCCGCAGCACCTTTAACTCTCCCGGACCCCGCGTCTCCTGTGCCCACCGGGCGCACGCGGGCAGTCTCCGGACCGGCCCGATGGTCTCGGCTCCAGCTGGGCCCATTTGCCCATGCTCGGTGTAGTGGCTTTTCCACTTGGGTGTGAAGCCGTGATCTTCTTACTGTGTTTTGTCTTCCCATCCTCCTCCATGTTCACTTTCCTCCTTTCTTCCTTCCCCTTTGGGGTTGTTTTTTACGTGTCCCAGTCCCCCCGCCGCCCCCTCAGCGTGCGGACTCCCGCTGTGCCGTGCGTGGTCGTTCCGGAGAACACCACCCTGCCCCTGTCCGGGTTAGCCGGGCTGCCCGTGTCCCTGCTGCAGACGACGCAGGGGCAGAAGGCGCCCCTGCTGAGGGCCGAGTGCGCCAGTGCGCCCATCTGCCTGGGCTGGGCCTTTCCCACGGCCCCGCCTTTTCGGGGCTCATCCCCACGGCTCCTGTGAACCGCCCCCCACCCGGCAGCGCCCGTCCTTCACCACCACGCCCTTGGTGCCGGTCCGCTGGGGAGGCCCCGCTCTCCGTTTCCACCGGCCTGAAAGTGTCTCCCCCACCCTCACGGGGCGCCTCGCTGGGGTCAGGGCCCTGGGCCGGCACGTTCCTGCAGAGCCTGCGGGGCGCCCCCCACCGCCCCCATGAGAGTCAGCGCGAGTCTCGCAGACGCTGCTTTTAAGGGAACTCGACATTTCCCTCGGCTCGCAGTTTTCTGGCCCTGACTTCGGCAGTCTGACCAGGACGCGTTCGGGTGCATTTTTCGCCCCGTGTGGGGTCCGTGCGGCTTTTCTGGCTGTTCCCAGTGGGGGTGCCGGCCTGAGGCTAGAGCTCGGCCTCACGGCTGACCAGGCGCCACTGAGCTGACGTGGGTGACTCGGGGACTCACCCCACTGGGGCTCTGCCGCCTCACACGCTTTCTGGAATGCACCAGACACTGAACCGACCCCAAGGCAGCTGCTGGCACCCCCCCACCCAGGCACACAGCCCCTCCTCCGCCCTCACCTGGGCAGGACTCACCCCTGCCGCTTCCCCGCCACCCACGTGAACCGGTAAGAGATGCACACGACACGCAAGCGAGGCTGTTATTTATATTTATTTTGGATAAAAAACTGGCCAGGATAACAGCACCAGTGGCTCTGCCCACGCAACGCAGTCTGTCCGAGGTCGCCGGCATCCACGAAACCTTGGGACTTGGGGCACCAGGCAGGGCCCGGCAGCTTCCTTAGACCCCAGGGACCGGGGTCAGGCGAGCGGCCGCGGGGGACCCAGAGCGGGGAGCAGCGCAAACCGACAGTCTCTCATTCTCGGGGGAGCGGCCCCCGCTAACGGATGAGGAAGCGGAGGGCCGTGACCCCTTCCTTAGCCGTAACTACAGTGAGGCTGCCGCGCAGGCTGGCCACACCCTGACGAACACCCTCCAGGCGTTTCCTTTCCTCTGCCCTCTCCCCACTTTGGACGTTCCCAGAAGCCTCTGCCCTGACGTGAGCCACAAGCTCGGGACCCTGGCGTCTTGTCTGCGGGAGGAGGAGGGTAAACTGCGCTGAGGATACGGCGTGGTCTGGCTCGACCCCAGCAGCTCGGTTCACACCTCGGTTCACCCCCAGACGACCCTCTTCTGGTCTCAGGGTCCTCGCCCTTCGAACGCACGGGACGCCGAGCAGGGCGTCATCGGAGGCGGCGGGAAGTTGCTGGTTCCGCACACCGCGGGCACCTGCTCCATGCGCGGCACCTGGCACCGGGCGCCGTGGGCAGCA